ATTTTCAACAAGAGTCAACCTTCATCATAATGCCGGCAATTCCCAATTGGTTACTTGAACCAGGACAACTGTACGGAATCCAAAGCAATTTGGCCTCTTGTGCAGAATATCCAAGCTTCCTGTTTCTCGTGGATACAGGTGTCACGGCTCAATCAATGATTTTAGCTCAGTCCAATCAATCTTACCCTATCAAATTGCCGACTAAATTATTCGTATTAAACCCAAAGGAATCAGACATACATGTCTTCTGCTATCCATGTGGTGACTTCCCACTTCGTCGAATAACAAATAATCCCCCAAACCTAATCCAACAATGGAAACTCTACAATCACGACTTTAATAAGAAAACAATAGTCAGAGCAATGGGTTCGAATAAATTTTCCAGAAAACTCAATACCTGCTTCAGTCTACGTTATTCTGGCCGAAGATTTCCTTGGTATGTAACCTGCGTGCAGCTCGCACTAGGAAAATTGTACAATTTTACAGACGTGGAAATAGATAATGAAAAGATTCCAGCGTTTCCACCTGCAAACCAAGTCATTTATTACAACGGAATGATGACAATGTCAGATTTGGATGCTTTGGTCCTAGATGATTCTTCAGAAAGGTGGTCATTGTTGATTTACAACATGAAAATTGTTCCCACAATTATAACCGTTATCTCATTAAAGTCTCGCACTACGGTAGATTCGCTCGGAACTTTTCTTACCCCCTTTGACTCACCCACGTGGATAGGGATAATAATCTCAGTTCTGGCAATATCTTTCGTAATAGCATTTCCAAAACTGGAAGAATCTCTTAGCAGAGCGGCAACTAGTTTTGGAAAAGTTCTATTTTGGACCTACGCCTGTCTCAGTGGTCAGTATGGTGGTACAAATGAAATCTTGCGGATTCTCCCATCCCCCAAGCCGTTCATCGTTATCGCAATATGTTCTTTTTTCATGATAGGGTCCGAGTTTTATCAAGGTTCATTATTTTCCTCCCTCATTGCAACGATACCACCACAACTTCCGCAATCTAATCAAGAAGCGCTTGACTCAAACTTAGAAATCATTACAATTGGTTCTACATTTGGCTCCCCGAATGTGCACGGGAAGTACGAGTATTCGGTTGTTGTGGACCTCATGATTCCAGCTTTATTGGAAAAGACCAGCGAAAATTCAAGATTGCATCAAATGTTGATCAAGTTAAAAAACAAGGCTATTTACGTATCCACCCTATATACAGGGGAATTCTGGGCTGGATGGAAAATATCAGATTCCTTAGAGTTCGACTTTAACCACCACAAAAAACAACTTAAGGAAACCTTCGCCATAGTGGGTCAAGTAGTGCATGTTTCTAATTTTGTTGAAGGGTTGCGAACCAAACGTGTATTATGGTCGAAAACATTTGAAGGGTTTGGATTGTTCCACATTCTCCCAGTGGTGTAATGATGGAGAGGACGTGGCTGTTCCCAATATTATCGGAAGGTTTAGGGCGACTATGTCAGTCGGGTTTATTTCAAAGGTGGGTAGATTTGCAGGGAAAACTGGACGTGATGTGGAATTTTTTTGACATTGCGGGAAGCAATGCGTTGTATCGAAAAGTTAGACAACAAATATTATTCCAAGTAGAGGAAGGTGTTGTATTTGAGGAGGCAAATTCAGTATCGATCGGAGCCTTAAAGAATATGTTACAGTTATATTGTATTTTAATTCTGACAGGGACCTGTTTATTTCTAATAGAGATCTCAATTTATTTGCGACGTAAGTATCGTCACCTTGATGGAAAACTAATATTGTACTATTTTCTCAAATTTGTATTCGAATTAGGATATGCGGTGTGGATAAATTTTGCACAACGGTCGGGCAAATTTTACACGAAGGTTAAGCAAATTTTACACAAGGGTTTGGAAAATTTTATACAACGGGTGGGCAAATTTTACAGGACTTAATTAGGATTAATTAAGAAACAATAAAACAGGTAAAATGCATGGTTTTTCAGAGTGGCAAGATAGAATGAGGAAATCGCAATTATTTTGTTATTTTTAAACAATTCAGATTCTGCAATCATCGTTTGAGTTACTTTGTGTCGCATTCTCAGCATTCTTGCGCTACTTGGGTACCCTGCGTTTCCGCAGTTTATTGAAAATGTAAACAACCGAAACAAGCAAGGATTGCGGAGCATCAAAAAATACTTGAAACCCAACGCAGTTCAGATAGTTCGAGGATACTCTCCCCATCAAAAAAATCCTAACTTACATAAAAAATTGCAAGGTAATTGGCTAATTCTGCTATAAAAACTGGATATATTGCACAATGGCACTTTTGGAAGAATTGATATAATTTAATTACTTTTGGGACTAACCCGGCATGACAAAGGAAGTGCCAGACATACATTGGGTCAGTATAAAACGCTTTTAAAGCCAAGTGATATCGGCTAAACTTTGCAAAACCGATGAAAAACCTAGATTTTCGACTATATTGACACCTGCGGAAGGCGACGATGAGCCGATATATAAGTATGAACAAAAATTGGGCAGACGGGAATTATGGGGTTGGGTTGGGTGACCCCTACCGATTTCTAAGACTTTATATAGTTAGTTGAAATTTAGAATGGAGTCGAAACATAACTTATGATTAGCATATGGGAGAGTTGAATTTCGGAATTTCTATAGTGGCGATTCCCTCTGGCCATGGGAAGTAGTCAAGGGGAGGGGTAGTAAATCTTTTAAGAATTTGGAACCAAGCATTTATATAATACGAATAATTGATGATAGTACAAGAATTAGTGCAAAGTAGTAGAACACGATTTTATAGAAAAGTAGTGATAAACATGGGTTTACTAAGCAATCCCGGTTCGGGCTAGGCAAACTGTCCTGATAGGTTTCGTAATTGAAATCGTAATTTCGTAATTGCAAAGTGGGCTAATAGGATATGTATGAAAAACATCTATAATTTGGGTGGATGCTTTTACATTTTCGTTGGGAAAAAAATTAAACCCGTTGCACATTGCATTATTGGCGATATCATTAATTTTGGTTGGATAAAACTGTATTTTCGTTGGACCGGTTAATTGGCACCCCAAAAGGGAAACATTATTTTTAAGCGTGTAGATAAAAATTTGAGTTGCAAAAAGTGAGGCGTACAAATCCAAGTCATGCCGTTCCCCATCCTTGCTCGGAGGTAGTTCAACTTGACGTGAAACTTTGAATGGTTTGTTAGGTTTTTGACAAATGCGATAGTATTCTTTAAAGTTGATTAGCCTCCATTTAATTTCAATTCGGGAGATTTCTGGCTTCAGCGTGGTCTATGAGGTTCAGTCACCTCATTTTTTAGTTCTCGTTTGAAAAATATCCGCGAGAAACATGTCTGATATGCGCATTATTCAATACATAGTTGTCACTTCAAGTAAATTTGATGTTTGAATTATTTAGCAGTTGCAAGTCATTACAAATTTTTTTATGATGTGAACGATAATTTGAAAGGCATACATACATATACATACACAAATATTTCGTTCTTATTAAACATTAGGATAAAATCAACTCGAAGTCCATACAAAAATAGTGTTTTAATGAGTAACACAAAGTTCATAGTTTATTTAATCATAACTAATTGGTGGTTTTTGGTGATTTTCTAATTAATTTGTAATTAAAATTAGCTTCAGTAGTACTAAATATTTAAGGTCAATTAGTAATTAATAATTAGTTTAAACATGTTATTTAATTAGATAATTAATTAGATTGACTAATTAATTAGAGAGCCCTGCATATACATGCTCTGCGGATAAAATTTGAATTTTAACTCGAATGAATTAATACAAATTTTTAATGGAGGTCTCTTATCGTACATATTTGCATATGTACAAGTGCCCACATATTTTGACTTGTTTTCAGCCCATGGTCACATGTGTTTGAATCGATTTATTAATTCTTACTTCCCAAAAACACTATTCTCATCGTGATCATTAATACATACATAATTCATTAAATTTACCTATGTAAATACCTTCCACTGATTGATTAGTGCCAAAATGCTTACGTAAAAAGGGTGGATGGGTATTTTTTTGTGTTGTAAACTTACTTGCAAACTCAGTTACGTATTTACGGAAAAATTTAATGGAAATCAACAAATTACATAAACTGATTATTTAGCACTTTATTACTCTCCATGCAAGAATGTACCTCAAGCCCAGAGAGAGAGACCACACAAATCTGCGGACGATGACAGAGGAATCGTGTTATTTGTTGCACACGGATTTTCAGGACACTCTTTAAATCCGTTTAATCGTGGGTTAAATTGAGCCTACGAAATTGGAACTCAATCATAATTTATCACCTGGGTGTGTCACCCGATTTATTTTTTTATACCTCGCATTGATAAATTTTTGCCAGTTAAGTTGATCAGGCCTAATATCAACAATATTTTTTTATTTTCCAGTGTTATTCATATACATATTCTTATTATTAAAAAAAAAATATTGTTCATTCTTAAAAATACAATTTGTAACTTAATTTAAAGAAATTAAAAAACTATATATGTAACTAAAATTTAAAAATTTAAATTTAAAATGTTATTCTTACCTTTAGTTTCGTCCAACGATGTACTCTACAGGTAAAAACTGACCAGATCGAAACCCGGGTCAAAAGCTGGTCAGATTCGGAGTAGATAAGGATAGATCCGATCCGGTAATATCGGATGCGTCGGAACAGAATAATTCGGTTGAATCGATATTATCGGATCAGTTACTCCAGGTGAGGTTACTTGATTTAATTCCTCTTCCCCGAGCCAATTTACCTCATAATTGAAAGTATTTCAAAAAATCCGATACTTACACTTGCCACGATTTCCTTATGACCTACTGCACATTTACTTCGTCATTATGCTGGAGCTGTACGTGCCTCGGGTAATAATTATTCACCATTAAACCGTATTTTTTCATGTCTAATCCGTCAATTACTCAAATAACTGCATACATAATTCCTACAATAAAAATTTTATTTAAGGATATTCCTCCAAAAATTAATTCTCACTTAAGATTCAGCCGACCTCTAAACTTAAACCAAATTAAAAATAAGAATAATTACACCCGAAAATAACCTTGTTCCCAGAAATTTTTCGTCTAAATTAACTTTAAAATAAATCGACATGAATCGCACCACATTTCGTGTAACCCTGATTATTTTGGCGTTTGGAGTCATATTTCCAAATTTGACGGAAAGTGCGAGTTGCTACGAAGCCTGGAGTCGTTGTACGGGATGGAGTTCGGGAGCGACAGGAATTTTATGGAAAACTTGCGCTGGTCGCTGCCAACAGTGTCAGGGACGCGCCTCAGGTATTTGGCTTACATACACTCTTAGCAAAACGGTATTGAATTTAATTGAATCATCACCAAACGGAGTGCATATATGACTTAACCAAATTGTGATAATATTTACCCCACATTGTGATAAATCTTCCCCACAATGTGTTAAATCCTCACTATCTAGTGTTAAGTTTACACATTGTGGGGAAGATTTATCACAATGTGGGGTAAATATTATCACAATTTGGTTAAGTCATATATGCACTCCGTTTGGTGATGATTCAATTAAATTCAATACCATTTTGCTAAGAGTGTACATTCACACTTAAAAAATAATATACAAGGTGGACAAAAAATATGAGCACATTGTAACCAAACCCGCGAGAACCGGTAACGTAACCCGTAACGTAATATAGCATGTTGATACACGCACGCAACTACCCGTGTTGAACCTCGTAATTAATGTAGAAGAAGTAAGAGTATTATGTTTACAGTAGAGCGCTAATAAGCTCCTACATCCCATAGTCGTTCTTTGTTACACTCTAAATACAAATGAGTAAAATCTACTCAAGATTGAGTAAAAACGAGGATGACACAACCAAAAGGTAAAATTTGTCTAAGGTTGTACAAAATTTGTCCAACGTTGGATAAATTTCACCTTTTAGTTATATCATCCTCGTCTTTACTCAACCTTGAGTAGATTTTACTCATTTTTATTTAGAGTGTACCATGCATATTTATTTCTTGACCACCCTATGCACAACTAAATGTATGCCTGTGTCCAACAATCGTAAATATTACTGTAATTGATATCAATTTTTATGTACAATACATATTTAAATAATGCATTTGTATTTATAATCATGCAGGATCTTGTGTCCCGGTTAAAGGAGATTGTGGTGCTCGCTCGCAGTGTCAATGTTCCGGAAGAAATGTTCCAAAAAGCACGAACCCTCTGGACATCGCAACATGCTTTATGGGACTGTAAAATCCGGCCAGTTTTAGCCAATTGTAAACGGTCATTCCTGATTGATTACACAGATATTTTATGTATCTAAATATTAGGGGAACGTTCATATTTATATTATGCCATCAAAAAACCCTGATTTGTAGATCATAAATAAAGTAATACACTAACCCGTTATGATTAAGGGGAATCATAAATTTTTTTGTCTTTTATGAGAAACTAGCCTATAAGCCCGTCCTAAAGACGGGCTACATTAAATTTTATAACGTTGCTAAGGAATTTTCTTGACGTTGCTAGGGAATTTGTACATGTTTGTAGGCAAATTTTTTTATGTTGCTAAAGAAGTTTTTTTTATGTTGCTAATGAATTTGTTTTATATTGCCAATGAAATTTTTTTATGTTGCTAAGGATTTTTTTATATTGCCGGGGAATTTTTTTTATATTGTCAATGAAATTTTTATATGTTGCTAACGAATTTTCTTATGTTGCCAATGAAATTTTGTTATGTTGCAAAGGAATTTTTTTTATGTTGCCAAGGAAATTTTTTTATGTTGCTAAAGAAATTTTTTTATGTTGCCAAGGAAATTTCTTTATGTTGCTACGGAAATTTTTTTATGTTGCAAAGGAATTTTTTTTATGTTGCCAAGGAAATTTTTTTATGTTGCTAAAGAAATTTTTTTATGTTGCCAAGGAAATTTCTTTATGCTGCCAAGGAATTTTTTTTAAGTTGCTAAGGAATTTTGTTTATGTTGCTAGGGAAATTTTTTTATGTTGCCAAGGAATTTTTTTTATATTCCCAAGGAAATTTCTTTATGTTGCTAAAGAAATTTTTTTATGTTGCTAAGGAAATTTTTTTATGTTGCCAAGGAATTTTTTTTAAGTTGCCAATAAAATTTTTTATGTTGCTAAGGAAAATTTTTTATGTTGCCAAGGAACTTTTTTATGTTGCCAATAAAATTTTTTTATGTTGCTAAGGAAATTTTTTAAGTTGCTAAGGAATTTTTTTTATGTTGCCAAGGAAATTTTTTTATATTGCCAATGATTTTTTTTATGTTGCTAAGGAATTTTTTTATGTTGCCAATGAAATTTTTTTATATTGCGAAGGAATTTTTTTTGTTGCCAAGGAAATTTTTTTATGTTGCTAAGGAATTTTTTTTGTTGCTAAGGAAATTTTTTTATGTTGCCAAGGAATTTTTTTAAGTTGCTAAGGAATTTTTTTATGTTGCTAAGGAATTTTTTTTATGTTGCCAAGGAAATTTTTTTATATTGCCAATGATTTTTTTTATGTTGCTAAGGAATTTTTTTATGTTGCCAATGAAATTTTTTTATATTGCGAAGGAATTTTTTTTGTTGCCAAGGAAATTTTTTTATGTTGCTAAGGAATTTTTTTTGTTGCCAAGGAAATTTTTTTATGTTGCTAAGGAAATTTAATTATAATCATAATCATAATCATAATCATAATCATAATCATAATCATAATCATAATCATAATCATAATCAGAATCATAATCATAATCATAATCATAATCATAATCATAATCATTATCATAATCATAATCGTAATCATAATCATAATCATAATCATAATCATAATCATAATCAGAATCATAATCATAATCATAATCATAATCATAATCATAATCATAATCAGAATCATAATCATAATCATAATCGTAATCATAATCATAATCATAATCATAATCATAATCATAATCATAATCATAATTCGTATCTGTTCCCTGATTGGTGGAGCTGGAATGTGAACAGCCAATCAGAATGCAGGAATGTCACGGAAAATTTCACGGGACGGACTTTTCGAAATTATAATATAGATTGAGTTATGCAAAAAGTTCCAGGTTAAATGTTAAATTTTGTTTACACCCTGTATGCAGTATACGATCAGTGTGTTATGTAACATATGTTTTTTTATGCAATTTCACATCTGGCCGACGAAATATATGCACGCTCCTGGATATAATGTTGCACTTTTACGCATTTATGTTTTGATTTTTTTTCCTTTTAACGCAATCAAGATGATTTCAAGTATTCTCTATTTCATCAGAAATTCAACACTGTCCACATTTTTGACCTCATAACCGTAAGGACGAGGTCGAAGTTCAAAACGGCAAATTATCACGTGCAATGTGCTATTTTAAAGGAATTTGTAACCGCTATGTGACCTGATGCTTATACGAAAAAGGGAGTGGTCCGAAATATGCTCGACGAATGTGGGAGAGCTTCCAAGCGGACTGAAAACACTTGGATATTTTACAAAAACTAGTAATTTATTTAACAAGTAAGTATGTACAAGGAACGTGTGTGAAAGAAAACATGACTTAATCTACCGAGTCCTAAAATCTAACTGCACTAAAATCTTATATCTAGGTGAGGATGAAGAGAGCATCTCTCTTCGTCCCAAATTAAATAAAATAATCTAATCAACCCGTCTCCTTCACATCCTGTGAAGGAGACACTTATATCTAAACTCCTCGGACAATTCGTCCTATGTCTCCTAATGTTGAGACGAACTTCTGCTAGCTAGCCAGAAGTTCGACTCAATTAAATATTCATATATTTTATGTACAAGGACATTGCATCCCAACCTTGGTGATCAGCCAAGGCTGGGGTGGAATGTTACAGCTATAAAGCTAATCTTTTATACATATGTACTTGTTTGCAAAATTTATTTTGAATTAATCCAGAATGGATGATTTCTAGGCCACGTATTTAATTGCAGACTATCGTGGCAATTAATTATATAAAGTTAATTATTTGCAAAAATTACCCGCAGGTAAATCGTTTTAAGCATTTTACGCCGCCATATTTTACCAATATTTTCACTACAATTTTAACCGTCTTAAGCTGGCAATAAATTCCATAAAAAAAAGTTGTGAATCACGAACTCCAACCAAGAATTTATTATGAAAAATATTTTTATAAAATTAACTCTTTACAATTTGTTACACCTGCACTAATTTTAACTTTAAGATTAGACCATTATTTCTAATCACTCATAAAATCATTGGCATTAACTTTAACCGATTTAAAAAAAAACTGAAAATAGTGCTTGTGCGGACGTTCATGTAAATCAATACGTTAACCAATCAAGCAACAAGTCAATTACGTAAGCAATCTCTAATTAATCGGTAAGCCCAAAATTAGTAATTTTAGGTCTTTCACGACATGCCTGTATTTACAAATTCTTGTATTTACTAATGAATTTTATAAAATTAATTATTTATAAAAATTCCGCTTAATACATTGATAACCCTTGCAAATCTTGCGCTGCTCCAACGCTCGTGATCGTGTCCCAATTTTTCTTTAAGCAGTCGTAAATCAGCGCGTAGCTCCGCGCAAAGTCGAAAAGCGCGCAATCCAGGGTCCACAAGTAGTCGTAGTCGTGCAATTGGACGCAGACGAAGGCGTCCTCACTCCATGGATGTTTCCTCAATTTCCAAATAAGTTTCCGCCTCTCCGTAAAATATTTCAAGCTTTGGACCGAGAACCTTTTCGCGTCCACTTGCGTCACAATCTGGTCAATTACTTCGGACCTGTTCAAAAAATGGGTTTCTTCATTCGAAATATATTCAATTTATAAATTGGACAAATTAGTATTCATTGATTATTAACGTATTCAAAGTTAAATAAAACTATTCATTCATTACTCGTTTGGACAACATTATTTACTCATTCACTAATAGGAAATTGGGCAAAATTATTCATTAATTATTCATTAAGTTAAGATTTGAAAAAAAAAATTGGAAAAAATGAATGTCTCACTATGCCACATTTATGAAGGATGCATACATACATAGATCGCGAAGTGAATACGAAATAAAATTATTCATTAGTTATTCATTCCTTCGTCATATTTAAATAAGTAAATATATACTTAGGTATTCAGTGTATTACTTTGTTGAAAAATTTTGGAAAAATTTTTCACTCCTGCTTCATGAATTTATTGAATAATGAAACTTATTCAAATAAATGAATTTCTTCTGACCCGAAACTGTTCCCAGTTTCGAATTTGCCCTTTTGCAATTCCATCCAGGTTGTCAGGAGTCGCGTCACGGCTAAAAATTCGTCCGCGTGCGGCGTAATTTTAACCAAGGCCTCCATTACCTCGGAATTTGAGGGGTTTTCAAAATGAGAGTCGCAATTTTGCCCATTTTCCTGGAAAACGTTATACTAAAATGATCATCATTTTAAATTCGGGGTATTCACTGCACTACGAAATCTGCAAAAAATTGTAAATATATAATTTCGCAAAAATTTAAAATGCAAAATTCATTTGTGAAATTATTTACATTGCTAATCTCCAAGACCGGTATTTAATTACTTGGAAATTTTTGTTTTTCAAAATTATTTTGGAATAATTGGAACTCTTAATGAATACCCCGATTGACTTGTAAATATTTTAATAATTTTTAAGATTTTATACCTGTTTTAAACCATTTTCCGCATTGTTTTTGAAAATTTGCTTATATTCTGGATGTGCATTTTCCCACTTTGTTTGCAAGTTAAGCTCAATCCTTAATTTGTCGAGTTTTTCCTTATTTTCAATCAACGTTTTGGACACGAGGATCCCCACCTGGGACGTGAGAGAGGCTCGATAAGCGTTAAAACGTTCTTCCGCTTGAGTATCAGTTTTCATTTTATTTATGCAATTATCAGATTTTAGTTTTCACTTTAAACAAATTTTATTTATAATTTGGCCAAAAATTGGAGTTAAAATGCATTAAAATGCATTAAAATGCATCTGACGTGCACATCTGACGTGTGCACGTCAGATGCAAAGCGGTGTCTAACTTGGTGTTACATCTTTCGCATATTATTTAATTACGATAGTCACGAACCGTAGCTTGCAACAGGTTATTACCATTTACTTGGAAATCCTCAACCTATGTTCAGGCAGGCAATTAAAACATTGACATTCGTATCTGCTTAGCTTGATTTTCCTGGAAGGGAACGTGCATATACTACGTTATCAAAATGTCACCCATTTTTGGACAATATACCAACCCAATGTTACTTATATTGAGGGTATTCATTACGAGTTCGCATGTTCGCATCGCAACATAATTTTTTCGAAATTGCGAATTTTGCGAAGCAACGAAGTGAAGACACTTCGCAAATGATAGTTCGTAAAAATTCGATGTATGAAATTTCAAAAATTTTAAAAGGCAAAACTTTGGTAACTAATGGAGATTTATGGACTTCCCATTGCAAAATTGTCCATATTTGTAGAAAGAAAAATATTTTGCGAACTAAATACTAGCCTTGGAGATGCGCAAGTTCGCAAATTGATTTTCAAGTCAAATTTTTTTGCGAACTTGCGAACTTTATTTTTTTGCGAACGTTGCTAACGATGCAAACTCAAAATGAATACCCTCATTATGTATTAAGCTTAACACGAGTAAGATAGTCGATCCAAAACCTGGCACCCATCTTTTCTTCATGACGTAATTTATGCACGTTCCCGTCCTGACTAGATTACGAAGTAAGTTATGTAGTTATTCATAAGGAGACGAATTCACAAGATTAGAGAAGGTCGAGCAAAAGCAGAGCTGGTTTACATATTTAGTATAAAAAAAATTGCCACGTGTAGCAACCCAAGTTCATTTTTCATCGTACTGCAGCCAGTTTAAACTCGGAATAACACAGTGACCAATTTCCAGACAGCGAAAGAAATTGCATGAGTTACAGTAAATCTGGTTTCATCTTATGCACAGCACACATTTACGATGCAAAGTCAACGCAGTGGCGAACATACGTATATAAATATGTAAAAGATGACGTATTTTTCCTTACATATTTTCATACACTAAAAAAATAGTGGTTCCATATTGAAAATTACTCAAAATTTTATATTTTTTAAGGAAGCTAAACTAAATCCAGAACAACGTTGGTTGACTTGAGAAATTCAGCGTTAACTTGCGTTGACGCAATATCTAATTCACAGATGGCTTTACCTTTCAAAAGCGCATACATAATAACGCATAATGCAAAAGTCGCATTATTATTTCGGTATTAATGCTTTATTACAATTTTATTGAATAATTTATTATTCAGTGAAATTGACCGATATGTAGATTTTACTTTACTAAATAAATGTTAAAATGTGAAAAATTCAGAAAAATGCAATTTTTTTAGAAATTGAACATTTAGTCAAGTTACAAATTTGTTACTTTATGCATTTATGCGGAAAGTGAATTAACTATTATTAACTGGAGATATACTTCTTCATGAATATGTGTTTAATGCGAATTATGTTTTTAACAAAGAGATGTGTTTAGTTACAATTTAGGCATCAGAAAATCCCGTAAGGTCAAACAATATCCTCATCATTTACAAAATTCCGGTTATTTTCCAATTATCCTGCTCATTAAATATAAATTTTACAAGGGAAACACATTCTTAAAAAGCTATACAACCGAATCTTTCACGTTTGGAAATGCCTCCAAAGATACTCTAACTTTTGACCATTCGGAACATTACAATAAAAAAAAACGTTTTTATAAATATTGCAAATATTGCAAACTTTTTTTTGCAAACTATTTTATAAATATTGCAAACTTTTGAGTGCTTGTTGACCATCATCCTTCGTCAGTGATGACATTTGTTTCGCGAATAATTGAGCCTAGCTTGTTAGGTGAGAAACTGATCATAATTTTCCGATCACCTCAACCCACACCTTGTCACTGAGGAGGGAGGAAGGTTGACAAAAACTTAAAAACTGCACTCTTCTTTTAATATTCGCACTAAACTCGGGACTGGAAAGATGCTAAACTTAACCACATTCACCGACTCCACTACCGGACATGGGTCACCTTCTTACTGTACACGTAACGCCACCTCTTTATATTCGTTTAAGACAATTTATTTTGCTCCAAATATGTTGCCATCATAAAAATAAGTAAACCCAAATACAACAAAACATAATATAATTACCGTTCTTTACAAAAATATATTTAAGTGGTTGTCCGATCGGACGATAGCGTGGGCTTTCTATTTCCAACGCATTTGTCAATAGTTTTCCAGTCTATGGTTGGCAATAAAACATCGTAAATGTCAATATCCGACAGATGGACCCCACGCCATACATGTACCACTTATTGTATTTACAAGCTAATACTTAACTTTATTTCATATTAATGTTCAAGTCTATTATTCCAACCAAAAATTGAATTGGTGTAATATGTTATTTTCATTATTATATATTATAATTATTGATATGCAAATTTCTTAATCTACTTTTATCTTCATTTTAAACTAAAACCCTACTGTGCAGACTTGATGTATGGGTAGTCTTATTTAAATTTTTGTCCAAATTGAATGGTCGAATATTTCTAAAATGCTTTGTATTATACTTGGCTCACGATTTTTGTATCTAGTTAGAAATGGCGTCATTTTAATCGTAATATTAATCCTGATTAGAATTAAAGTCGAAGATTCAAAGATTAAAAATTAAAATTAAACTAAATTAAATTGACTTGTGAGATTAAGATTAAAACTATTGATTAATAGGATAAAATTTCTTGATTAAGATTATGAATTACGGTTAATTATTCCTAATCTTAATCTTGACTATTTTAATCAAGATTTTCCCAGCTCTGCCCCATTTTAGGCTGCCTCGGCCCAAAAAGGCGCCCAATACACGAAAGAAGCCCTGTTTCCATGTAATCCAGAAATGACTTGAACTTCCTTCAACTGTCATCCAGAAATCCAATTTTGCCAGGATTTTCATAAAATTTCCATTTTTGTGATCCCAGCTACCTGTGTAATACTATCCAGCCAAGATCTCAACTTTTTTGAAGGTTTGAATTTTTTGAATAATTCATGAGCAGAGGAATGCCCTAAAATTTCGAAAATCACAAAAAAGTTGTGATGTGTACTGAATAGGATCACGACAGTATCTGGGATCACAAACTGTAAATTTCATCAAAATCCAAGCAACAACGGATTTTTGGTGAATTTTGGACTTGAAGTTGGTAACTTTTGAGGTTTTCATCCCTTTGAGTGGGTGTGGTGGGCGTAAATGTGGCCATGAAGTCAAACCACTTCAGGGTTTTACACTCTCAATAATTTTTTGACAAAATTGTTACCGGCGGAGGCACTATGTGACTCTACCGCGTGGTAACACTATAGTAACAAATTGTCTTCTGAGGGTAAGAAATTGCCTCCGGTATGGGTAACATTTTTATTACCTGAGCGTTGACATTGGGCGCTGAGCAGGATTTAGCCTCTTTATATATGCCACCCTTTGGTGATAAATTATTACCCGAGCGGTAGAATCACATAGTACCTCCGCCGGTAACAATATCGTCAAAAAATTGTTGAGAGTGTAGTACACTCATGGAAGACTACAGAAGCGCACCAGAATCTGGTATTATCAACCTCGGAAGCTCCCCTCCTTAACCAAGTCATTTGTTTTATGTAAGTACATATTTAAAAAAACATTTCTTTCGACATCACAAAAAAACTGTTTTATTTTTGCATACACAGAAGGAGAAAAAAGTCAGTTTTTTAAACTATGAGATTAAAGTAAATATTATATTGGTTTGGTACGATACAATAGAGATTATTTGCATATGTATGTATGTATACTCATGTCAATCATAGATGCCAAGTTGAGATAATGGATAGTTTGACGTCATTCGGTCAAGTTAATCACCCCGTGAGCATCACACCACACCACTGGAGTTAACAATTTGTTCAAAAATTATACAGGGTGAAAAATATTAGTAAGTATCTAAATATGTTTACAACACATCAATTAACCCAAGAAAAAAGTACTACATTTATTATTTTGCTGGCCGACAAAATTACAATTTAACAAGTTTCAAAATCTTTAATGCCCCAAATTAGGGACACCTTTCACGTCATCACAATTGCTAATCATTGAATAAATTTCTTGATTGATACGAGCCATTATTTTATAACGAAACATGGGTATTATTACAATGTTATAACTTATTGGGATAATGAAACTTTTGAAATTTGTAATATTTGGCGTTTGGAGGAATTGACGTTGTGATATACTTGTAACATTGTATTGCAACTTAGGGTTTTATTTGCCTGAAAAGGCGATAAAGACCGATTATATTCTAAATATTATATCTAATAAAGAACGGCATCCGTGGTCCCTGCCTCCTCTTCGTCACAATTGACGTGCACTTGAAATGCGACGCAGACCTCAACAACGTCACCCGCCGTATTGAATAACTCGGCACTGACCCGCATCGTGTTCCGACAGGCGACCTCGTACGGGGTGAGGGTGTACTGGATCGTGTACGTCGTCCCGGGCTGGACGGACGAATTGTCGAGAACCGCGTTGATAATGGTGACTTGGAGGCCCATGTAAATTGCGCTGACTTTGAGGCGCAGGGAAGCGATGGGGATGCTGGGAGTCATGTCCCATTGGATGGGGTAGGACGTCCCAGCCCTCATGTAGCAGAGTGGACCCTCACAATCCGTCACCCGCAACTGCCAACTAGTTCCAGATCCACCTGGTTTTATTGCATAAATTTACCGATAATTATTATAAATAATTGCGGGTATTAATTGTCCAAAATATTCTGCAGAAAGCAATGCGGGATCTGTGGGCAAGATGCTGGTCGGGGTAAGACTAATGTGCAAAAATATTGAAAGAACTCGTCCTGGAATCGAACCTGGGACCTCTCGATATTTAGTCGAGCACCTTAACCACTGCGGAATCAACTGCTCTCCATATATATGCCACTAAATTTTCGAACCAACCTAGCCCACTTATATGATAAATATTCTCTCACAGAACTCACGTCAAATTTGTAACCTCCGTATCATTCAAACGGTTGACATGAATTGACTTCGTGACACGTTTTGAAATGAACCAAAAACATGCTTTTAAAATGTGTCAGCGTCCAAAAAATTTGTTCGCGTATGTATGTTTTCCTTCGTAAATGTTTGTAGATTTTCAAACCTTACGAATTTACCAAGGTTACAAACTTTGACGTTAGTTGCGTCAATATTTATTTTTATTTTTTACCACATCGCGTATAGTCCACCACACCACAGGACGTCGTTGCCAGGAAAGTTGATAAGATCCAGATTAGCTTCATCTCGAGGAAATCTAAATGAAATTGATACCCAATTTCACGACGTGTTCGTTGATAAATAGGTGTCTGTCTGGACTGAAGCAAAAAACAAATGGGTTAAACTCCAATCAGATAAATGCATCTGTTTGCTCTCAAATAATACATACGTAATTGAAACGTCAACCAAATTAAACAATAAGGTTTGTTTATCTCTCGGTGGTTAAATCGACAATAAAATCTCGCCGTGTCGATCATGATCCTGTGTCATGTATTTAATAATTAATTAGATAATCAATACAATCTCTCCTGGTCCTGTGTCATGTGTTTCATTCTGGATAATTAATTTGATAATTTTATTAATATAATTCTTAATAATCGATGCGAGGCTAGGAAGGAATTCCGCCATCCGTGCTCCAACATCTACATTTGGCAACGTTCACCATGTAAGACAGGAGAAGGCCATCCATATAATACGTCATCAAGAATTATCGATTTTAGTATCTACAAGTATAGTAACCCGTCTAGACGGGTTTGGGGTAAGTTAAGCCTGTCTGGGGTAATATGATACCCCAGCGCCAAGTTCAACTGGTAACACACACACACACACACACCACAGCGCAATTCTTGGTTGTGATGTACCCACCCCAGGCATAAATTGAGGGAATTTTAACATGGGAAAGATAGAAAGACATAAATCACCCACCCATTTAAATGATTACGAAATATATGGACGTTCCCGAAGGGTGGGGATCATTACATGTAACGCGGGAAAATTATGTGTACATACATCAAAGTACTGTGGGGTCATTGACTCACGGGATATTATTCATGCATTGTTAAGGTGAGGCATTCCCGCGCGTCTTATTCTGCCCCATGTGTCATGCTTCCTTATGGAGAACTTTAAATTAACCTTTCGGAGTAAAAAATTCACTGAAATTTAGATGTTATTACCTTAAAATATTCTATGTTTTTAACTTTACAAGAATGTAGCTTACATTTTTGGAAAAAATATTCCGTCCTCAATAGTTTATTGCCCCTCACAGGAAGGAATTTTTTTTCCAACAATCTAAGCTACAGTTTTGTTAAGTTAAAAACATAGAATATTTTAAGGTAATAACATCTAAATTTCATTGAATATTAACTCCGAAAAGTTAATTTTAAGTTCTCCATAAGGAAACATGACACATGGGGCAGAATAAGACGCGCGGGAATGACTCACCGAAACTCATCTTAAGTGGTGAAACCCCTTTTTGCGACGACTCTGTATGTCCGTCCGTGCGCGCTCTAGCTTTCGAAGGATTCAGTCTTTTACGAATTATGTTTCGACACAAAGGGTTAAAATGATAACCGAGTGCTTTAACGAAACCTGCAGGTCAATACATAAATAGTTCTCAAGGTCGATGACATTTGTTATCCTACGAGTTTACATTTTAATTAGGACGAAAATTTACATCATTTTGATCAACTATAACGCCATGACCGTGTCGACGACACCAAGGTCGAAAGTATTGCGTATGACGCTATGACACGAATAACATTTATATATTCTCAGCAAAATCCATATCAGAATTGCAAGAGCTAATAATTCGACGCAGTAAATTTTGTCCAAAAAAATCTTGCTTCTTATCAATCACATCTAATCTATCCAATACACTCAGAATAATTTGGTAATAAAATTGTCGCCGTGTAGTATGCATTCTGCGCGATCCTAAAATTTAATGTATTTGAAGTAGTGGTAAACATACCTGTTTACATTCATTCAATTATACCGAAGTGAATGAATGAGTGAGTGAATTATTCATTAAATGAATGAATAATTCAACATTTCAAAATGAATGAGTGTGTTTTTTATTCAGTAATTCTTTGACCTATGTTAAACACATACGGCGAATGAATGAATGAATGAATGAATGAATGAATAATGAATGCATAATTCAAATTGAATTTCGAACTGAAGGAATTTTGTATGAAAGAAACAACAGGAATGAACACACGTGAGGAAAGTTTCAAGTCGGATAGGATAAGGTTACTAGGCAAACGACTGAGGTGTCAAACAAACTGAGGGTTGACAACTATACCAAACTATGCACAAGGTATGACTTTTGATGTAAAGCGAAGGAATTTGCGTGTCAAATTCAGTTTTCGTCAATTTTTGTCGACTTTTGTGGCCAGCTTATGACGATGGAGTCCGTCCCGTTTAAAGCGGCAACAATCACTCCACACAAATTTAATCGAACGTCTTCTGGAAAGTTTATCCAATAAAAGTTCGTACAAATAATTAGTATTTGCGATAAAGCGTTGCAAACTTAGCAAATTATACATAATGTGTTTCAAAATTTTGCAAATTTTTATTATTTGCAAAATTTGAAAAATTCTCGCGTTACTTTGCAAATTTTCTATATGTTACAAAATGTTAGCAACACCTATTCTCAAATACTAATTATTGATGCACAAATTGTATTTGCACAAACTTGAATAGAATAGAAAATGGCCGAAAATATTATTTTCGTCAAGACGTTCTATTAAATTTTCATAGAGTGAAAGCTAGGCCGAGGACGGACGAGTATGAGGCCGAATACACCGCATTAAACTCGTTGGACTCCATCGTCACAGGTTCGCTAGAAAAGTCGTCAAAACTTGACGAAAAGTTAATTTGACATGGAAATTCGTTTACTTTACCTCAAAAGTCATATCATGTGCACATTTTGGTATAAATGTCAACCCTCAACTTGTTCGACACCTCGGTAACCTCCCTTGTTTGAGTTATCGTGTATATAAACATACACGAACTGATGTGCGGCGTAGATGGGCAATACATACGTCCTGACTCTGGCTAAAAGCCAACAAAGTATGATAAGAGCCTCTCCCTCATCTCAATCGGCAGGATGACAAGCACCTGAATTTAATAATATTAGGATGGATTGTGTCAACGTGATTACCACATGATGCAAAATACAATAACAGATTTAATTAATAATATGATCAAGTCACGCCTGACAAATTCCATTGCGATGTTGTAATTAAATCAAGTATTTTGTTTGGCAGAGTGCAAAATTGACCACGGCCTTGTTGTTGGTTGCATATAATACTTTTTACCACAGGGCGGCTGTGCATGTTGGTAAATTCCTCAAAATATGAACCTAAAAACCTCGAAAACATGCACGTAAAAAATGTTTTTGAAATACAATTTTGTACTAATAAGTGTAAGCATGTTTCTGTTTTATAAATATTTGAGAAGACACACATTTTTAACATTCTTATAAGCGAATTATTTATATCCGAATTACATTTAAATCTTGATCTAATGACGAATAATTCGACAACAATTCGAAATCTTCTAGAGTAATTTTTTGGCGAGAAAAATGGGGTAAATTGGATTTGAATACCGTTCACACGAAGTGAACGATTGCCATGACAGTACATATACATATTCTGTAGTTTTTATAAAATCTTAATTTCTGAATAAAAAAAATATTTGTGCATAAAAGAAACACGAAATATGCATCAAAATAATTATATTTTAGAAAAAGACTCAAAATATGTATGTGAATATGTATAGATATGTCCGAAAATCTAAAACTATGTAATATATGTCAAACTGTTTGAATTTGGAAATTTTTAGATCATGCGTTCATAGGACGTCAGTTTACGAAGTCCTAGTATTTATGATGAGTTTTAGTGTGAAAAAGTTAGAAATACATACATAGCCGCCGTCTGCTTTTTAACCTGAACTGCGTAGCATGTCTCATTTTCGTGTTGAAGTGTTTAATTAATTTAATCATGTCTTGTATTAGTGATTACTTTGATATTGATGGATGGATGACGACACAACGCCTTCATTAATTTATTTATAATATTGCACACCCTAACTCGCCAAAGTATTTAAACTCCATCTCCGAACCCGATTCACCCAGTCGTTGCTGTTTAGCAATTCCAGCATCTTCCTTATTTCACAAATTTATCGTAACCAACACTTTCGCCATGATTATTGTTGGCTTGTTGGCTCTCGTGGCCTGTGCTAATGCTCACACTGCGGCTTTTGCACGGGGCATGTACTGCCAGGGGGGACCTAATCCGGGTCAAGATGATCAGAACACAAACACCGTCGTAGTCCCATTGTACAACTTACCGAGATCACAATGGTGGTTCCAAGCCGACCGAGGCTGTGACAGGGTCCCACCTGCGCCTGGTGTTTTCCTTGAGCTTCCCGCTGGTGGTTCTTTCACTGTTGAGTTAGCCCACAACAGAGCTCAAACCACGTTGTCGTACGACGGACAGTACACCTCCCAGTGGCCCGACGGCAATCAACACCCCGAAGACTGGAAGGGACCAGGAAATCCTCCAGATTGCATTCAGGATGACGGGGCTATGCATACAAACAACCAGAGCATGGCGGCGGGAACGGCCTTTGCTATCAGTTACGTGTCTGACATATCCGCCGTGACGATGGAGAATTTAGTCGTTTTCACAGTTCTCCCCAAGTATAAAAAAATGTAGAAGTATTTTTGTGTATGATATTAATTACAAAACAATCTGTCGATTTCTAGTACCCCGTGGAAACGTATTGCCACCTATGCCGTACCACGTGACCTTCCCCCTTGCCCCGCAGATGGGTGCACTTGTGCCTGGCTTTGGGTTCCAAAGGGATGCGGAGAGCCTAATATGTTAGTCAATTGGGACAATTTACATAATTCCATGCTTTTATTCGCCTTATAATTAAAACAAAATTACTACTCCACAGGTACATGCAAGGATACAAATGCAAGGTGACAGGGTCAACCTCCACGAGGCGACTTGCCCCCGCCCAGCCCCCCAGGTACTGTCCCAACTTCAACGACTGTACCCGTGGCGCCAAACAGATGATTGTGACCAGACGTAAGCTCAACACTAAATAAAGCAATGATAAACAATTTGTCAGGATTATGGGTAAGGCATGGGTAAAATATTTATTAAATACAGAGGCTGAGGGCAACAATGTTGAGATTCCGCAAAATGACTTTGTGTCATACAGCGCTGATTGGGGATTCTCACCAGGTTATTTGAAAATAGGGATGCATAGAAATTATACATGACTACAAGTTTGGGATAATGTGTTTCAGGTGCCCAGAACGACATTTTTGTGTAAGGATGAAGACT